AACAGTGTTGTGGCCACATTTCAAAAAGCCATTGTTTTAATGTGGAATGTGCTTGTTCCTTTCCCAAAAAATCAATCCTCCACATCAAGCCATGACATTTCAACCATCCTTCAACCAGCCAAGAGATGCTGTGGGTTTTAATGCATTTAAGGCGTTATCTCAACATCACAAGCAATTGTCTTATCAAACCACAGTATTTATATTGTTGTCTTTTAAGACTACTATGGGATAAATATTTAATTCTAATATTACCTCAAAATTGTTTTAAGGTGATCAGCACTCAAGTCAGGATAACAGCATATCAACTTTCAATGCGTATCCAACTCTATTTTTTCAGACAGCACTGGAGAGGGAGGTTTGATATCAAGATTAACTTATTGTTGTTTTATCTCTTTAATAAACGTTATTAGCCGATGATAACAGTGGTGGTAGAAAGACTTCAGTTACATTTTTAGGTACTTCTACTTTTGTATTTTCTTGTATGCAACTTTTACTTCACCACACTTTGGAGGGAAAGTACTTCCAGTACTTTTTATAGTAACAATAGCAACTATAATAGTATAAACATGACTAAAAATAATAATGATGATGACAGCAATAATAATAATAATAATAACAATAATAATAATAAAAGCAGTGGGCTAGTCAAGTAGGAGGCACAATCTGATCGAGGCACAACCACAACCCATGGGAACACGTGAGAAGACAAAGCACAAACAACCACAACATAGTTTGTTGAATTGCAAAGATTACATAATTAAAACATGATCATGACAAAATAGTTTATCTTCAGAGATAGCAGAAGATGTAGTAATGTTACAAGACAAATCCTAAAAGTGCATATTAGTAACCACAGCCACTCTTAGCATTGGTCATTTTATGTTATTGAATTGCACTAGTGATTAGGTATTCGCTATGTTTTGAAATCCTACAAGCCTTTGTGGTGGTATGTCATTGTAATTATTCAGTCAAGAAGAAAATAGATTTTTTATTTGTTTCACCCCATTTGTTAGACCTGTTTAATGTAACACCACTATTCTCAAAAAATAATGCGGAGCAGCAACCTTTTTGATATAATAGCATTCCAGTGTTTTCTGTTACTTTGTAGCATTTTCACCATAACTGCAGACAGAAGTCAAACCCTTATCCAGGTCACTAATGGCGTTTCCATCTGGCCTCCAGACTGCTTCAAATCGTCACTGTCTGGTACTATAATCTGCCTGATCTATTCGGGCATGCAGCTCTTTTTTTCTTTGTAAAAGATGTATCTTTGTGTTTAAACCTCTGTACAGTGTATATAGCTAGGTTGTTAAAATGCTGATTTTGTAGATATGGAATTGCAAATCCTGAACTGCCTTTTCTTTGTTTTATTTGACTGTTGGATGTGAATAAGAGACTTTGGGATGCCAATTATTTTCACATCATTCCTCCTCTGCCACTGACTGACTGAATGCCATTTCAATGTTATAGGTGGATTTTGCACACTATTAAATACAGACATTACATCCCAGCAAATGTTGTTTTTTTGTTTTTTAAATTTTTTTTATCGTTGTAAGGGAATCTTTTTGATGAATTCCTAGTGTTCAAAGACATTAGGAAATGTCAAATGCCCCCTATGTGCAGAAATTGAGGGTATAAAAGTGAGTGTTTTTTTTGTAGCTTTGTTCTTTTTCAATTCAGTGCTGAAAATAAAAAGGTTCTTGCGCACCATGTCACCTTTCCTCAATTCTGAGATAAATCTGGCCTCACAGATCATTACAGTTGTCTACTGGCTGTCATGTCAAATACCTTTTGATGATACTTGAGTCTCACACCTCTGACATAAACATTGCCTCTAAAAATCAGCATGGTAACTCATTGTGAATGCTGATAGAATTCACCTCAAAGCATGGCTGTCTTTAGGCATGGTCTGTAGCAGCTTATAATATAATAACTACTGTTAATTTAATAACTGCCAATAACAATAATTCTTGAGTTGAACGTAATAACTTATAGAGGACCACACTTGCTCAAATAAATCATCAATCAATTAATACATTCATAAATGGCTCAGTGTATGAATTAATATGCCATGCTGTGGCTCAGAGGCAGAGCGGGTTGTCCACTAATCGGAAGGTTGTTGGTTCGATCCCCGGCTCTTCCTGCCACGTCGAAGTAGCTTTGAAGACACTGAACCCCAATTTGCTCCCGATGGGCATCGGTGTGTGAATGTGTATGAATGCATAAGTTTCCGTTCGATGGCCTTTGCCATCGCTGTGTGAATGTGTGTGAAAGGGTGAATGTGGCACGTAGTGTAAAAGCGCTTTGAGTAGTTGGAAGACTAGAAAGGTGCTATACAAGTACAGGTCCATTTACCATTTACCATTTACCATTAAACACATTCACATTAAGTACTTCCGGCACTGCAGAGGGTGGCAGCTTTACACAACAGCTCCCTCTCCCCCTCTCTATTTTCACTTCTTAACCTTTACCTTATTTTTTTTCTAACCCTCTAACTAGCACTGTATTTATTGTTGTAAATAGGACCCACAGTGTTGGTAGTTGTTTTTTATTTTTCGCCTTAGTTTGGCTTAGTTTTTGTTTATAAACAATGTGCAAGAATGTGGACCCTACGACCACCACACAACAAAGCGCCAGGGGTTACTCAAGTGAGGAGCTCCTCCAGTATTTATGTGTCGCATTTCAGAAGGAGATCTTGGTGGAGTTAAAGAGACGAAGGCGAGGAACTAGAGCAGGCACGTTGGTGAGGAAAAAGAAGACAGAGAGGTGGTGGAGATACAAGCCCTGTCTTCCCCCGGTTGTCATGGGGAATGTACGCTCGCTGACAAATAAAATGGAGGAACTCTTGGCCCTGGTCAGTGGACAACGCGAGTATGGGGGGTGCAGCATGTTATGCTTGACTGAGACTTAGCTGAATGGGAATATACCAGACTGTTCAGTGGAACTAGTTGGCTTCTTACTAGTTTGAGCAGATAGGAAGAAACAGAGCGTTAAGAAGTCAGAAGGAGGGCTTGCTGTCTTTGTTAACTCCAAATGGTGTAAATGGAACACGCCTGTGACGTCATCAACTACGGAGCATTACTGCCATGAAAAGGTCAGTAGGTTCAGTGGAGGGGACAAAGGGACATGCCAACAAGTCATCCACCCTCTTCCCATTCAACCCCCCTCCACTTCCTCTCTCCGCCCATCCTCTCCATTTACTCCATAGGATGGTGCGACAGAAACCACCTACAGCTCAATACAGGGAAAACCAAGGAGCTGGTGGTGGACTTTGGACTCCGGTGAGAGGGTAGAGGTAGTGGACACCTACAAGTTCCTGGGGTTGACAATCAACAGCAAACTGGACTGGACGACCCACACTGACAGGAAAGGACAGAGCAGGCTGTTCTTTCTGAGGAGGCTCAGGTCCTGCTACTTTGGATGTTTTAATGCTGTCTATTGGGCGGGACTTCATCCAAAAATCACTGGACTTTAATGACATGGTGATTAACCTGTTTGCATCGCAGAAAGGCCGTGGATGTGAGTTGCTTTTTAAATTGTATCTATCCACCAGGAGGAGTATTGGCTAATATCATTACCATTACTGGTACTTTACATTTCTATGTGGAACTTACATTGTGCCACTACATGTTGTTGGTAAAAGTGTTAAAAGTTTTTCCTTGCCGCTGTCACCAAGTGCTTGCTCACAGTGGGAATTGTTGGATATCTATTTGGCAATATAAATACATTTGAATTTAATTAACTTGAAACATTTATTTCGCAGAATAAACACATTATTCTTTATAAAAACAATTCCTTTTGATTCTCTGTAATTAGCTTGAATAGGAGGTAGACAATGACGCCCAAAGACAATATGTTTCTTTTTGCCTGGTTGGAGCCATATGCAAACCCAACAGGAAGTCAGCCATTATGGATTTAGCTGCAAATTCTGGCGATTTGCACACGTATTTTAAAAAATTGGGAATTGATCCGATCGACTTCAAATTTGGTCAGTATGATGTAAACATCATCATGATTAAAAATAGTGCTGCTTGTGCATTGAATCCGAAGGGTGTGTCTCTGGTGTGGCGCCAAAGTTTGACGTTTTGCCATGAAACAGGAAGTTGTCACAACTACAGCGTACATGGTCCAATCTCGACAAAACGTCACATTTGGTAAGAGTGCTGCCCTGAACACGTCTACATGACATGATATTCAGTCATACTCATAGCGCCCCCTACTGGCAACAGGAAATGTCATGTTTTATACTATCACATTCTGCTCCTATCAGATCCAGCTTAAATTTGGTCACAAGATGCAAAACATGTTGTTGATGATATGTGATGAATGTGGTAAGTTGTCGTTGAAGGGCATCGCGTCAAAGGTGGACGCACATGAATTTGCTGTAACTTGAGTGTACATCGTCCAATAGGCACCAAACTTGAAGTGTCTGATAAGAGTCTCAACACAACATCTATGTGATAATATTCAGTAAAAGCAATTCAGCAAATTGACCACATCCAGCGGAAATTTGGTCACAGGACCCTTAAATACTGACAATGACATCTTGTGAATCTTGTGAATTTTTAATTAACTGTTGTTCTAACATTTGATCGATTTTGCAGGGGCTAAACAGGCTCAACAACTCATGAAACTTGGCACACACGTCAGCATTATACATTTCATCTGGGTGTTGCCCATGGGTGTGTCAAAATGGCTCGATAGCAACCCCTACAAAGTTTTAAGAAAACAGCCCCGGGGCACTGTTTCTCGGACATGTATGAAATTAGCAGGCATATGTATCATGTCAGGAGCCATATCCTAAACCAAACAGGAAGTTCAGAGTGGTACATTTTTTAAATCTTTACATTTGGTCAAACAGTGTGTTGTGGCGTGCCTTCAAAAAACAGCCTTGACATGATGATAGAAACCCTAACCCTACCCCTACTGATAAACCTAACTGCAGTACAGATTTTCCATTTGCACCCAAACTTTACAAGTTTATTAAGAGCCCTGGCCTTAACACATCTAAGTGCTAATTTTCATGTTGCGGTCTGCACATCACACTTGCATGTGATGAGTTGCGTGGAGTGCAAGGGCTCGATCATCACTGCTTGCAGTTTTAATTGTGTATTGCATTTGCATTGCATGCATTGAATATAATATGAAATATCCATAAAATAAGTCATGTAGTCAGAGGGCATAAAAACTGTAGGAACCAGTGCTCTAGTCTGTCTCAGGATGTCTCCACAATACTGGAACTGTCTTGAACTGACTCTTGAACAGGTCATCTTTTCTGAGCACCTTTGAGGTGATCTAAGTTTAGAGCATGAAGGTTAACAAAATGCAATAGTTGGATGAAACAAGGTTCAAGACAAAGGCAATGCAGAACAAGACAGACAAAAGAAATATGCCACATCAATATACTATGAAAATATGTAATAAATAAGGCATAGGCAATTCAAGATCAAGCCCACTTTCAGTTATTTGTGAAAGAAAGCCGTAACAGTGAAGTGTAGTATATCATCAATAGGAAGTGGAGAATATGAAGTGAAGATGGATGCAGTGAGGTATACCTAGGTTGGCATTTCCAGGAGAAAGGTAAGAAACCAGTGTGTGCTGCTTTCTATTTACTGAATACATTAACATGTTTTCACTTTTTCTTTGAGGTTATAAGGCATCATGGACAAAAGGATTAATGAAGACACTGAATTAATGATTTATCTGATGTGGTGATGACATAGCAAGCCAGCATTGAAGCATTTGCATTGATTATGTTTCTCCATTCATTTATTGAGCCATTTCTGCAGTTTCACTGGCATTTCAAAGACTATGTTTTATATTTTATTTTTACATTCAAGTGGCGTCTAATGCACACCATGGTAGACAGGTGCACAGGGAAATGAAGACATGCAAAAGACAGTGTTGATTTCCTGAACGCTGTCAGCATTGTCAGAATAATGGTAAATTAACTGTACTTGTATAGTGCCTTTCTAGTTTCTGATTGCACAGTGATTTAAACTAAATGTCACATTCACCCATTCACACACACGTATAGCAAGTTGTAGCCATCAGTCATCAAATCCACAAAATGAAACAAGAACCTCTTTATACTGGAACCACACATTGCAACAACCAATCAAAATAGTCAAATCACAAACACTAGTAATCACATCAATAGAAATCCTTAAAATGAGATATAAGATCAAATACAACAACACAGAAATATAAAAAACTATATGTGCAATGAAAAGTAAGTCATTCTTTCAATTAAGTGATTAAGTGATAGGTGAATGGGAAGTAACATCTCTGCTGTAACTTAAAATATAAAATTATACTCACTAAAAAATACATTCTTTATTTTTGTGAAACAACTGGATGGAATTTTTAAATGGTGAGCAAAGCCATCTAGTGTACACTAGAGTACAACACAGCAGCTTTGGAATGCCAGAGGAGCCTCGCAGAGTTGCCTATAGTCCCATAGAAAACAGAGAAGGGAAGAGGGGGGGAGTGTCTGGAGAGGCAGAGAAGACGAGCGATGAGGAGAATGAGGTCTGGAGAGACAAAGCAGGGAAAATAATTGAAGGGTGAGGAGGTGTGAAGTCTGGAGAGTGTGGCTGCGAATCTCTCCTCTCAACATTCAGGGTCCCTGTTCTGTCAATGGCTCTCGGCGGGCCATGATCCGTTCCTGGTGGACTGCCAGCGGGGCGGCGGAGCGCCTCCGCACTCTGGCGCAAGAGGACACGGTGACCGTGCTGAGAAAACCAGCGGCCACTGAAGGACACAACTGATATTTTTGGCTGCTAGAGTGAAGCAGCATGCCAGCGATCACTCACACCGACGGCGGGGTGTGAAGGAGGGGAGATAGAGGCTATGGACATGCCGGAGGATGAGTCGTTGTTGAAGAACCGGACCGAACACGGGCCAGAGCGGAGCCAGGGGGCAGCGCGTCCCGCATGGGCAATCACGGCGCTGGCCAGCGTGCTGATCTTCACCACTGTCGTGGATGTCCTGGGAAACCTGCTGGTCATAGTGTCTGTGCTCAGGAACCGTAAATTACGAAATGCGGGTAAGATGCTGAAAGCTGTGTGTGTGTGTGTGTGTGTGTGTGTGTGTGTGTGTGTGTGTGTGTGTGTGTGTGTGTGTGTGTGTGTGTGTGTGTCTGTAAACAACAAAGAGAGAGGTACGGAGCTCTGGTTGTTAGACAGGAGGTGTTTGCGGGAAAATGACACCCAGTGGTAAGCTGGGCTTTACAGTTAATCGACAGTCTGTTCACAGAAGAAGGTAGGCTGAAACAGGGTAACCTCATATCTCATGCTGTTTGATAAACATTTAATCGTCTCCATCAGCAGAGAATGGATGAATGAATTATGAAACAATTTTATTAATTCTGCAGAAATTAATTGATTAATTCATTCACCGCTTTACTGAATGAGTTGTTTTCATTAGTCTGCCTCATTCATCACTGTCTCACCAAACTTGTCAGTTAAACTAATCCATTTACATTCCATCCACTGTAGGTTCAGTGGAGCAAATCGTCAGCAGATGTGAGGTTTCGCATAAATATGTATGGTTTATGTCACAGTTCAGGAAGATTTAAGCTAGGTTGATCGAGCTTGTTTCAATATAGGCAAGACTGGTCTTTTTTATTCTTAATGCTAAGGTTAAGGATTTAAAGAGTATGCTCCAGGGAATGAATTCAAGTTATATTTCTAAATATTTCTAAATGCCCAAAGGCAATGTATTATAAACCAGTATTTGTGAATATTGTGTAAACATAATATTCAAAATCCCTTTTGAATATGAGAAAGCTTCCAGAGTTGAAACATTAATCTTAATTATGTAGGACTGATGGTGCTTTATACTTCCAATCATCATTCAAAGTGCAACATTTAAAGTGTGTCTGTCATAACTGTGTTTTTTTTGTGGGAACAGATATACATGTTTAGTTTATCATAAAAGGGAATTTGACAAGGTGCCTCCTGCTACCTGAGTGGTTAAGATGTGTACTGACTCTTTCTTGCCCCATGCTTCTTGACTGTCAAAATCCAACTCAGCACACTAAATGAATAAATATATAAGCTAATTGTTTAACAAATAGAAATCTTAACTCAAATTCTACTTTTAACCTCATCTTGTGTTTTTTTTTTACATGGAGACATGGAGAATTCTATCATATCTGTGGGAAAGACATTATGGCTTCTTAGGAAGGACAACATTTGCAGAAAATACGATTTACATTTTGAAAGGATTTCATCCTCCCCTTCCAAGTGTGACGATACCCATGAAATGCATGAAAAACACAAATTCAACCTCTTTACTCAAGTAAAAGGTAAAAAGTACAGGCCCTGAAATGTAAAAGTATGATCTTGGTTTCTCTGAAGGACCTTTTAGAAGCTGTTTCCATGCAAGGGTATCTGAAACTTCAAATGGGGTAAAGTCTCCCTCTGTTGTTGTTGTCAAAGTCTTTTACAACAATTTCTTCATGTTCTGTTTGTCATGCATGATTTGCAACAGTCTTGATGTTGGGAAGGCGTAGAAACTACAGATATTTGTGTAAAAATATATGGGGTGAAAAGTTGTGAAAAATACTCAAGTCAAGTACATATACCTGAAAAAAACACGTAAGTACCGTGAAGAATTAGTACTTACCTCCCTCCTCTAATTCTGAGCTTACCCATTCACACAAACACACAAAAGCCATAAGGAGCAACTTGGGGTTCAGTATCTTGCCCAAAGGCACTTTTGACTGGACAGGTTGAGCTGGGATTCAAACCAGCAGCCAGTTAAATTGTTCGATTTATCTGCTGTCTCACTTGCTCTGACACTCCCTCTGAGGCAGCATTCACCACAGAGATGCAGCCAGGATGCAGAATGTAACAGAAATATTTCATGTCGTATTTTTTGTTTAGTAGATGGCTTACAGGTTATCAGCAGTATGAGATGGGCATGCCCTTTATATTTTGCTATGTAGAGGATAAGAGCTAAAGCACAGATGCTGTGCAACAACTGTGAATTTGTTCAGTATTTGTTAAAATGCATTTACTCCTTTCACTGTACCTTGGAAGACTGCACCTTCCACAGATGTTAGCTGTTCATGACAGCAGTAAGACAGTGGTGGGGAGAGTAGAAAGAAAAAATGTACAACTAGGTCCACTTACTAGCTATTCAGGAGCTTGCTATCATAATACATGATCTTAATTATGACTATATACAGTAACTGGGAAAACCCCATACAGATCATGATATTATTGAAAGTCTCAGAGAAATTACAAATTTGATCTTGTAGTGTTGTTTAGGGAAGTTTGAGGAACTTGTGGATATCTATTCTAAATGTATTTAGTAACCCAAGGATGGTGGATCCTCACCTTTATCTTTAAGGGACCCCTTTTCTTTCATTAACCCCTATATAAGTGACATATTTTATGGATATTTCATATTATCATATTATATAATATTATTATATTATATTAACAGTACAGAAAAAGTGATTAACTCAATAACTTCAGGTACTTTTTATAAAACAAGGAATTTGGATGAATTTTGAGCAGATTTTTTCCTCTGAGAAGAGTTTGCCTGATATTTTAAGAAAGTTTTTATGCATTACATTGTTTTGTTTTTTTGTTTTACATTAATACATAGGGGGTCGTTGTCCACTAATCAGAAGGTTGACGATTTGATCCTCGACTGCTTCTGCTGCATGTCGAAGTGTCCGTGAGCAAGATATTGAACCCTAAGTTGCTCCAGATGCTGTGCATTGATATATGAATGTGGAGGAATGAGTTAGTTTTTTTTTGTGATGGCCATTGTCATCACTGTATGAATGTGTGTGAATAGGTGGATGTCGCATGTAGTGTAAAAGCGCCTTGAGTGGTCAGAAAACTAAAAAAGTGTTGCAAGTACAGTCCATTCACCGTACATACTGAATAGCCTTCTTTTTGAAAAAAAAAATCACTGTTTAACATGTGTATTTGTTGTTCTATTAGCTCTTTGGTTGTTTTAACAGTATACTTTTCTAAAGCAGGATGACTGGGTTGAATCAGTACAGTAGATTATGTTCATTTATTAATTTCTCTCTGTCAATTTGACAGAGAGATAGCTGGAGAGAGACAGGAAAGGGGGGCAAAGAGAGAGGGGACGACATGCAGCAAAGGGCTGCAGGTTGGACTCGAACCCGGGCTGCTGCATATATGGGTTGCCAGCTCTACCGATTGAACTGACATCCTTGAGATCATTTATACAATGAAAACACATGAATGAAATACTGTAGACAGCCTCATATTGTTAGTTTTGTAGCCAGGTTGTATTGTAATTGCCCCAACAGTCCTGCCCAAACAAAGTTTTAATTTCCTCAAACCCACACACTGATTTTAGGCCACCTGTCATATGTTCCCCTTCCCCTTCCACTAAAACCCTGCCACAGTCCACAAACTTCAAAAATCCAGACTGATTGCAGGTTTTTGGGCAGCTGTGGCCCAGAGGTAGAGCGGGTTATCCACTAATCAGAAGGATGGCGGTTTGTACTCCTGCATCGTCTTGGGGGTGGCTGGTACACTGTACACAACAGCATCAATATGTGCTCCACATCATCATGGGAAACTCTATCTCCATATCGCTGCTCTTGCCTCTGGAGAGAGGATCAGCCACGGCTAATGTTTTGCCTGGTGCATATTCATCTATGGTACTGAAAAGCAGGAGCATTTTGCCTATCTCATCGATGATTTGATCAAGACAGTGAGCCTGTTTTTGTTTGAACTTGCATTTAGCTTCATTCCGTTTGAGACCTGCTTCTTCAAGGACCCTCAGTACCCCTGACAGGCGCTGGTTGTGTATTTCACATCCAATGATGTAAACACCTTTGACCTTGCCAGTCTTGGCATTATTTCCTCCACTGTGGGCAGTATGTAAAAGCTCTGTTTCCAGTCTGTCAGCAGTCAAACTTGAATTTGTTCGGTGGGTTAAACTTGGGCATGGCTGTGATACACAGATAAATGGTAAATGGACTGTACTTATATAGCACCTTTCTAGTCTTTCAACCGCTTGATGCGTAGTACACTTCATGCCACACATCCATACACTGATGGTAACTGCTCATCAGAATAGAAACTAAGCATTCATACACACTCATAAACTGATGCACAGCGTTGGGAGAAATGTTGGGTTCAGTATCTTGCTCAAGTACACTGCAGCAAGACATGCAGCAAGGAGACCCAGGGATGGAGCGGCCAACTTTCCAATTAGTGGACAACCCGCTCTAACCCTGAGCCACAGTTGCCCATCTACGGACCTTACATAGCATGTAAACATCTATCATACTCCCATAATAGAATGAGATGACAAGATGAATTTGTTCTTCTGTATCTTTGCTACTCTGCACTTGAAAAATAACAACACGGACTGTGTAACATCATACACCACTAAAAATGTATACTACACGTCAAGGTAACAAATGAATGGGATATTCTGGTCATAACAGCTTTCATTCATTACAGAGAATCATTCAGTGAGTGTTATTAGTTGACAACTAAGGCAACTAAGTAAGTACTAATCAAAGGCAAAAGAAGGGGAAAAGATACAAAACAACAGACTGGTTGTTATATTATTTTTTACATTTAAGATTTTTTTTACCAAAAAGATTTACTAAATATTATATATAATAATAACCCCTTTGTAATAAACAACATTTTGATTAGTAACTGTAATTTAATTATATATTTGTTCTCAGTAATTGACAATTATGTACAATTGTATAATTATTAATGCCTAGCTGCCACATACAACAACCCATCTAAAGCAGTTTTCCAACAATAAAACACACCTGCTATCTGTTAGATCAACATTAACAACTGCATATTTGGCAGCCTAAACATGCTCGAATGATCATGGCAATTTGCTCAAAATTCAATCATTCGCAAACTAACATTATCCAATTGTCCCTGTGCACGGGCGGCACCAAATGGCGGAGCCCCGCCCCCCTGAATCAGCCCCCAAGACCTGCAACGCCGACATATACGAAAACCGGTACGCATGTGTATCGTGATAAAAGAAGCAGAAAAGCCTCTTGGACCC